GCCTGCTTTAAAGATCTCAGGTTGGCCCTAGCACATGGCTACCGTCTAGGGGTGTGGACAGTAGCCAGTTTGAGAAACGGGTCTGTTACTCGCCCAGCCTGGTGCTATTGCCTGGGGATGCAGCAATGAACAAGACCCAGGGGCTCTTAAGATGAAGAAGGCAGATGGAAAAGGGGACCTCCAGGACAGAGCTCTGGAGTGGTGTGGGGGAAGAGGGACCCATACTTCCTCCCTGTCTCAATGCAGGCACCTGGCCAAGAGAGTGCAGGTGGGCTCCCCTGGGTGCTGCATCATCACCAAGATGCCCATCTTGAGGGAAGAGGGTGAGTGAAACGCAGATCGGGGTGGGGTGGGGGTGCGGCCTGCGGACAGCCCAGACAGTGTTCCTCAGTGCTCAGGTGGGACGTTTCAGGGATGAGATGGAGACACCATGGCCTCCAGCCCTAGCCCTGGCATCTGGGAGACTCCTCCAGCAACTTTGAGTCCTGGGATTTCCCCTGAGCCAATTCTTTGGGTCAAGGAACCCTACTGGTATAGTGACTATTCACTGGGCTGCTAACCCCAAGGTCAGCAGTTCAAAAACATCAGCCTCTCCTCCAGAGATAGACAGGGCTCTCTACTCCCATCAAGAGAGAGTTGCAGCAATCCACAGGGGCAGTTCTACCCTGCCCTCCAGGGCTGCCACCAGTCAGTATGGACTCGATGACAGTGAGGTTGGTTTGTTTTCGTTTGTTTGTTTGTTTGTTTGTTTAGGAAGGTTCTTGGAGTCCCTGAATGCCCACTCAAAGGTTGAAGGTTCCGGTTCACTTTGAGGTGTCTTGGAAGTAAGGCCTGGTGATCTACTTCCAAACTATCAGCCATTGAAAATCCTATGAGCACAGTTCTACTCGGGCACACACGGGGTCTGGGATGTGTTGAGAGAGCTTCTGGGGGTGCGTGGGGCATGGGTATGCAGCTTTCCGACCTCCCCTTCCCCCAGATGAGATTGAGCCTCCCCCGGTGTTTGAGAAGAAGCCCTTAGAGTGGGAGGAGGACATGCAGCTCCTCACCAGGTTCCTGAAACGTAAGGTGAGGAGAGGCTGCTGCCAGCCCCATCCCCTCGGGCTCCCCAGGGACCCCTGGAGCTGTAAACTCTACTGTAGAGCTGGCTTTGGGGGCGGGCGGGTGGCTGGGAGACCCCCACAGCGCAGGGGCCTCCTGGGGCCTGGGTGGGTGGGGATGTCCCCAGCTCTCTCAGCCTCTGGCGCCCGGCGTCCCAGCAGGAGGAGCTCCGACTCAGCCACGCCAGCTACCTGCGCCACCACCCCGAGGCGAGCGCGCTCATCTCGGACTTCCTGCTCTTCCTGCTGCTGCGCCAGCCGGCCGACGTGATCACCTTCGCCGCCGAGTACTTCGGCCCCTTCTCGGTGCACAGCCTGCCGACCCCCGCGCTGCGCTCCTCCCACCGGCCCAGCCCTTTCCGCCCGCAGCCCCTGGAGGGGACCTTCAGCCAGGCGTTCCCGGAGGAGGACTAGGCGGCCCGCGCGCCCGGGACCCGCTGCGAAGAGGATGCTCTCCCCGGGCCGGGCCGGGCCGCGGGGTTGGTGGAACAAACCGGGCCCGCCCGCAGCGCTGCGCGCGCCCAGCAGTCTGATGTCGGGCTAAACAGACAGTCCGCCAGCAGCAGCGTTGATGGAGTTAATTAAAGGCTGTCTCGGAAAGGCTATTTGGTCAGGAGTCCCATTTTACAGAGAAGAAACTAGAGGCACAGAGAAGTTACGGAACTCATGGTCTCAGCGGGTAGAGAGGCAGGACTCCAGCGCAGAGCCTTCACCCTTCCCTTAGTGTGGATGGCAGGTGTGTGAGTCCGGGTGCTTTAGTGAAGCAAATCCACAGAAATTCATGTATAAGAGAGAGTTTTATATAAAGGTTAAGTGCACATCAAGAAAACATCCCAACCCAGTGCTGCTTGAGCCCCTAAATCCAACATCAATCCATTTGTCCGACACCAATCCACAAAGTCCTCCTCCATCTCACAAAACACGCACAGTGATGCCATCTCAGGGTTGGCAGGGGTCTCCACACAGCTGCTCCAGCACCCAGGGCTGCATCGGGTAGGTCCATGTGGCTTCTCAGGGATGTCTTGCAGGCAGTGAGCCTTGTCGGCTGAAGCAGGGAACTGGCTAAGGCAGCTGCACCCTGGTCCGACCACCACAAAGCAAGAGAACCTAAACTGGAAAGGTGAGGCTCACCGAGCCATTTATTCCTCCGCCCTTCAATTAACCCCACATGTGTTTATCGGCCAGGTTGGCACAATAAACTAAGTACCTCAGTGGGGTACAGGTGCCCCCTGACACAGAATCCTCCTGGAGACCACCAGGCGTAATTACCCACCCCTACACTGAAGGAACCCCTTCGGCCTTGGCACTTCCTCACACTTCCCTCCTCAGCTCTCATGGGCCACTTCCTACCCAGGAACATAAAGTCCCCAGATTGTGTGGCCGCCCACAGAGAGGAACTCCAACTGCATGGCTCCCCAGAAGCTTCTGTCCCAGCTTCCTGGGACCCCAAACTGTGCAGCATCCTCAAGTCTCCCTCCCATGGCCCCCAGCCAGAGGAGCACCCTCACTCCATGAGGTCCCATTACCCAGTGTCTCCCTGTGAAAATGGATGGGCAGGTGAGGGCAATCTCTCTTCCAGGTCGGT